GAATACACCATAACTAATGTCTACCACTAAAATATAGACGGACATAATTCTTGTACTTAAATTTTTATGAGATATTTTAGGAGACGATTTTCTTAAACTGCAAAACCGTAAGCAAAAGAAAATAATAGATATATATGGATTGTGTAATTATGAGTAGTGCTATAAGGTTAAGAGTCTCAAATCATAAAAATGGTAAATTCTATAAAAAGCAAACCAATACACCAATAAAATAAAGTATTTTCCGCGAGTGTATAATTTATGAACGAGCCAATCAGGTATAAGATAACGAGTCATGGATTTCAGCGCGAAATTCATTCATACATTTAGCTAAGTAGCGTTTTGGCATTATAGTTGATGTTAATTCATGATGAAAACCCTAAATCTAGTTCCTAACCCTAAAAATTAACGGTAAATCATAATTCTAATTTCTCACACTAGTTTATAACCCTCATTGAGTCCTAATTATTAAGAGGACGTTTTCAAGGTCACTTTAGTATCACTCAAAGGTCATCCATAAACTATAGTTTCACCTTATTTTCTATCAAATTCAACAATAACCATAGTTTGTTGTAGAATATATAAACAACAATTTGTAATTATTCCGTAAAGAGTAGAAACAATTAAAATTTCATGTAATTTAAGAATGAAAATTGATAAAACTCAAAACTATAAAAGTCAATTATAAAAGTTTAATTGAATTAAGTGTTTGTAATAATGAAAATTAATTAAATGGAATGTAATCTTCTTTAATAATCAACACCATTATCAAAATCTATACATTAGTAACAATAAAATAATAATAATAACAGATTCAAATATAATTTTATTTGCCTGTTTACAAATTGAAAATGATTTTCACTTAAACACCTTATTTCTATTACACTTAAAAACTATAAATGCCCAGGTACGGCCGAGAGTTGGGAGAGTTAGCTCTCCCTCTCGAAATGCTCTCACATGGCCACGCGTATACAGCCACTACCACAAAAGTCCTAATCATTGACTTCTCGCAGAGAGGGTGTTGTTTACAAAACTGAGAGGATGAAAAGCGAATGTCTGGAGCTTTAACCGGAATGGTGGATATGGAGGATCCATCTAAGGGAGTTGGAAAACCCTGATTCCAAACCAGTGGTGCACATGAGCTCCAGGATACTGAGGGAACAATAGGAGTGTGAACCAATTATTGGTCACCGGATACCATGGGACTGCATCTTCTGATGTTGCTCCACTGCCTTGTAGATCAGACCCTAAGGTCGAAGGCTCCAGGAGTGACCCCTAAGAAAATCACCTGCTTCGATCTGGGCACCCGGCAGTAGCATAGCCCACACGCAAATCAAGTGGCTTGTGTGATGCATCCAGTGCCCCTTTGTACCAATATTTATGTGTTCAAATAAATACATAAATTATATTAGATTAACTTTTAATTAAGGTGTACTTCTGTAAAGTTATTTTATCGTCATTCAGTTCCATTTGTTTTTTTTTAAATGACTTTGTAATGTGCTAATTTTTCTCATCAGTGGATAACCTTTGTCTCTCTTATAGTTAATTCAGAATAAATACATGCTGATATTTTCAACTTCAATTGTGTACATTATTCTCTGTTTATGTTTCTCGTATTGTATAATTAATGATAATACTAAATTTGAAAAAAAAATGTGCACAATGAGGGTTATACATATGACAAAGTGCACAATTATAATAACGAAATAAAAGAGATCAGTTGGTTGAGTGATGTCAGATTTTTACTGTTCAGTTCTGGTGGCCTGCTTGAATATCTGGACTACCTGTTTCTACCATCTAGATGTTTCAACAAGTTGTCCTTTTCATTTTAACACAATATCATGTCTATTGATTGCATAACTTACTCAGGTGTATATATGAAAAGTTTACGTTTTATCGCTTCACAAGGTACAAAAAAGTATAATCATAAACATCGTGGTGGCTGACAACACGCCTTGAAGAGAATGAACATTAATCAGATGTCGATTTCTGAACTGCTAAATTATAATTGTCGATCACTGATTGAAAAGGTGGACTATCTTCAACTCCTGCCAAGTCAAAACATGCATCATAATTGAGGCACAATCACAATTCAAGAATACTGGTTAGGTGATTTACAAGACGATTGCTTAATATCACTGAGAGATTTTAATATCTATCGTCAAGATCGACCAAGCAATAAGAAAAGGTGTTACGGCGGTGTAGCTATGTTTGCAAACGTGAACTGATGTCGATCTACTTTTGCATGTTTTAAGTTTTCAAACGACTTTATCGACTGTCTAACTTTAAGATGTCGTACAAAACACTTGAATAAATACAATTGTGTTTGTTACTAACACCTACGTCACTTCAGACTGCACATTATCTACACTATCAGTTTTCGCTTATGAATTCACTGAATTTGTTGTTACTGCTTTCATGGTTTACTTTCAATTGTAGTTGGTGATTTTAATTCATGTGGCTGTAGCTTCCTTTCATCACTTGGCCACCAGATTTGCTTACTTGTTTGGATGCCTATTTAAACTCAGTTTTCGTTAATGATGTGGGTACATATGTGACTCATAAACGTGTTCCACTGTCTAGTTCTGATCATTGTATAATTCGTGTCCCACCTAAAGTATATATCATACTTGGAAAGAGTACACTCTTACATCAGACAAAGAAATTATCCAACATCTGGAAAACATGTTTCGTACGACTAATGGGATTATTTACGGATGGCTCACTGGAAAACACCGTTGATATTATCATTTGTTATCATAAACTCTGTTTTGATATTTATTTTCTCCCTGAAACCATTTTTATAAGTTTTGGTCAACTTACATCTCCACAAATAAAACGATTTCGGAGGGTGAAAGAAAGAATGTACAATGAGAAAAACTTCATTGAAGCTCGAAATGTAAATGTTCTAATAAACCTAGATATTAGACGTCTGGACTCAACGTTTACTCAGAAACACATATCCTGTATAAGCTCTCCAAATATATGAAAACTATTTAAAGAACTTAAAGGTGAGAAGTAAATTAGAAGTGATAACCAGCTGAACGTTTGTCTTTTGTACGTCAGTCACCTGATGTCATGCTCCCTATATCCACAGGTTTGAAGAATAGTTGTGTTCCTAGTTTCACTAAAACTGATGTTCGAAAATATCTCCAGTCGCTTAACCCGTCCCAATTTCTTGAATTTGATGAAATCCAAAACCTTTTTAAAAAGTGTGCTAATATTCTGTTTTATCCATTCACAAGTATCTTTAACAGATCCTTCTCAAGTAACCTCGTACTGAAAATGTGGAGAAAGATAAATGTAATCCTAATACTTAGGAAAGTATCTGGCGTTAAGAATCTTCAATTTAGACCCATAGTACTAACTTCAACTTCTCTCAAAACCATACAAAAATTACTGATACTTCCACTTCAACTTGCACTAAACGAGCACATTGATCCGTATCAGTTTGCTTACAAATGCAAAAGAAGCCCCTTAGATGCTGTTGCTGTTCTGCATAATAATATAGTGTTCAGCTGGAAAAAGGGTTAAAAGTATGTTCGATGCACTTTCCGGGATTATACTTCTCCCTTTGACTCTATTCCAGGATAACTACTTAACACGTTAATCAGCGTCAACACTAACAGGTGAGTAACCAATTGGACATTTTCATACCTCTCTGGAAGAGAATAGAACTTTATTTGGAAGAGAGTGTTCAACGTTTCTACTCTATCATGAAGGTGTGCCACAAGGAGCTGTCCTTTCCATCCTCTTCTTTTTTACATTTTTTCTACATGATCTTCCGTCTACCACGGAAAACACTTTTGTTAAATATGTGGACGATCTCATTGTATGTATGCCGATTTCTCCCTCTTTGTATCTCCCTGAAATGAAAGAGTTCTTGTCTCGTATTGAATAGTGGTCTGTTGTTCATGGTCCCACACTTAACCGGTCTAAATGTCAACCTGTTAACTTTAGCCTGAGACATGAACAGCACCTAAACACCTTGTTGGAATCCAACAGATTTCGTACCGCTGGAGATTCCTTGATAAACACAGTGTCAAAGTCGTTTATCTTAGTGAAAGGTTTTCCTCTGATCGCTCTTGGTCTTCTCATATTTTATTGTTATCGAAGGAATTTCTTCGTCTCACTTACTATATGAAGAGGATGCATTCTTTTGAGATTACTCGTCATTTACTCTTAAAATTTGTCGGTTCATGCATATTACCTATTATTCTTTACTGTTCACCATTATTCTTTCCAGCGCTTTTGAGAAAAGACTGCTGTATTGCTAAGAGTGTTAAAGGCAGCTAGCATGGCGTTTGGTGAATATTTTAGGGTCATTATTATTAGGATTGTAGATAGACAACTAAAGTCTTATAAATTCCTGAAAGGTGTTATCTTATCAGATACTAACCATCCACTTCATTCATACCTTTCTCTTTATATATCTTCTGATCGAACGATACTTCAATACATTAGAATCCATGCACGTAAGCAAAAGTGTGAAAGCTCTACAATACCTCATCTAGCAAATATACTATGTGACGAACAGGTTGTTAGAGCTGATCTAGTTAATAACTTATATTCCTAAAAATGTTTTTTATTAAAAATGTTTTACAAATTCAAATTTCCAGTAAAAAAAATCATTTAGCTCCATTTGGTTCATCTACTTAACTTATGCACATATGTATGCAATTATCAGTTTCTTTCACTTCTATTTTTTGTCAAAGAAACTTGTTGAAATACCTTGTGTTGAGAATTCCATATTGTACCAAAAACATAACATCGAATAAATCCATTAATAATAATATCAGATTAATATTTCAACTAGAATGTAACTGAGAGAGAGAGAGTTATCCGGTTAATAAGAACCGATTAGAATCACAACATGGCAATAGTAATCAAGATTTATGCAGTAATCATTTTGCTTTTAATCGAATTCTAATTCGTATACATGTTTCTGTTCAAATTCACAAGTCCATTTATTTTATTTCTTCATTTTCTATCATTTAATTTAGATGGTAATGCAGAGAAAGCTGGTCTCAAAGCTGGAGATCAAATTATTGAAGTGAGCAATTTCACATGTTAAATGTTAATTCACCCAGAAATTCTTCTTGAATATACTTGTTGGTTTTTGAATTCATCAAAATATTTAATTTTAGTTAATAAGTTATCCATGTGTAATTGGTGTTTAAGAAACTTTATACAGTCAGATCCCTTTAGGAATTTGATCAATGCCGGAATCACAGTTTCAGCAGAAAAACATGAACTCTGTATACCACGTGGATCCTACTCCACTGCTAATAACCTTATTTCATATTTTAGATATCAAATCACTAACAATAGTAATAATTAAAATACCAATCTCTATTATATACTATATAACGTTACTTTAGGACAGACTAAGGAATGATAAATAGGAAACCGGAATTAATTGGAACCAAAAAAATATTTACACTGGCTGCGTGATAACTACTTCAAGTTTAAAAGAATTCAGATAATTTCTCAGGATAGAAAGCGTATGATGAATCTGAAAGCATTTTTAAGATAGATGAAGTCACTTAAGCACAGAATAAAACGCTAGTAGTAATAATTTTATAGTATTATATTACGGACTTATCTATGTTAAATAACCATAGGTGTACTGTTGAAAAATACACTACTATCACACAATCGGTATCTAATATTTCTTGATTTTCTGTGACTGCCTAACTAGGAGAAGTCCGTGATGTAAAACAACGAAATCCAACAACCCCCACAACCCCATTTATTAAAAAAAAACAATAATATTAGTCATAGTAATAGCTGAAAATAGTAGTAAGAATAACAGTAATTAAAAGGGAGGTAATCAAAATTTTTAATTTACCTTCCTTGTTAATCATATTCATCAGTCCTGAATAGATATATAATTTCTTCAAAAGTCAGAAATATTACTCACCACTCTATTCAGAGACTATTCTAATATATCATGAAAACTGATTACCACAGTATAAGATTAGGAAATGTAAACTTGTCACAGTACATTTCTAACAAAGAAATCGATTAAAATCCGGGTAGGCCTTCTGTAAAGATTACTTAAAAGTAGATTATTCTATAAATAATAAGGCTTGCATCAAAACACTAATATATTTATCTGAAGTAAAATATACACAGTTTATGATTGAGATCATGAACCGATTGATGTTAGACCATCATTGAAAACCTGGAAGCACTGGACGGCCGTTTTGTCCTTTTTTGGGACCCTCAGCAGTGCGCATCCACGATCCCGCTCGCGCGATTTGAACCCAGGGCCTTCAGTCTCACATGCGACCACTTAACCTACTGGATCACTGAGCCGGCATCCATTGGTGTTAATGTCTAACCTCAACCAATCCACGAAGTTTAATTATATTCTGATTTGTGAGAAGAAGAATAGTTCATTCACTTTACAAGCCAGAAACTATTTATTAACAATCACTGATCAATTTAATCTTGAATATCAAAAGAAAAGTAATGAAAATCCTTATAATTATTGAAGAATCCTGAGACATTGTTATGTAGGGATTTTTCATTATGTTTTTTTATGAATCCTCTTTAAATCTATAAGTGGATACATACAACTACTGAATGCTAAAACTTATGTTTACGTGAAAACACATAAATGATTGTCAGGTGTTTTTTTAATTACCTTACTTTTTATCTTGGTTACATGATCACAATAAGGTCTACTGATTGTTAAATATAACTTCAATCTTCCTGTTCACTAAATATATGTAACAGCTGATGTTTCATCGTATCGAGTTTTTTTGTTGTTGTCAAAGGGAAATAGTAAGCATGGTGTATATGCAAGTTTTTTGTAGTTTTATTAATAAGAGAAAATACCCAGTCAGTTAAGAATATGAAAGGCAATAGATTTTAATGGAGTTTTATTCTCTCAACTGAATGGTTTAGTTGTGGAGCTTTCATCGTTCTTCTGAACAACATTATCAGCACAAACTCCACCATCTTAAGGCGATAGATATTTATCTGCATACGTAAAACATTTTTCTCAGAAAATAATTTTACAATTAATGTTTCAATCAATCCCAAATATTATAAACAATCATTGTTTGAAAAGGTTAAAAAAATGTTTGAATAAACTTCCCTTGTAAGTACTGCTTAGTTTCTTAAACCTTATTCATAGTAATAATCGTAACCGTAGAATGTGTATAAATACAACTATGCTACAATAAACAATTTTGTGATTTCTTTTAATTTAACTGATTTTATAGTTGTATAACATGAAATCAGTAAAATGTATTCAATTTATAACCAACTTAATTTCATTGATTGATCATTAACACAGAAACAAACAGTATGATTTGGTAAATATGATTATTATTAAGTAATATAATAAGAAACGTTTGAAACTAAGCATTATGATAATAATCGTTTTAGTAATGTTAAATGGAATAGAATAAGATCAAAACTTACTTGAACTCAGATAAAATATACTTTATAACTTAAAAGTTCATTCTGTGAGACTCTAAATTATGTATGAATCACTCAGAGCTAAGACTGGGAATCTTGAATTTTGATGCGAAATCAATTCACCTCTATGACCAAAGAACATTTTCGCATTATAGTCGATTTCAGTTCATGATTAAAAGCCTAATTCTAATACTTAATCCTAACTTCTAACTTTAGCTACCAGTCCTAATTCTTCATGCCAATTTATAGCCCTATTTTGACTCTAGTAAGTAATTGGAGTTTCTCAACATCACTTTACTATCATTTAAAGGTCGTCCACAAATTATAATCTCCCTATTCACTCTTTCATTTTAAATGAGATATGGTATAAATTCATGGTATCACACTATGCAAGTAACTATTGTATAACAAATGAATGCTGAAAATTCTAGAATTCCATCTTAAATGTTTGCTACTCTATTTCATATTGCCAATTAAATTATTCTATAAGGCGTGAATAATTCTATGATAAACATCACTGTAAAAATAATATATTGACCTTATTTTTTCATATCAGTTAACGTTTGATAATATCATTGCTTATGATTCATGAGGTGCGCAGATCTTTAATGAATGAAAATAGATGAAAGAAAAAATTGCAAAATTTTGTCCTTAAAATGTATTTAACAAACTAAGATTACTTATTAATTGTAATGAATATAATGATAAAAAGCGTCGAGTCACCTAGACTGGTGGCCACATTGTAACATGGTCGATAGCATTCGATCTGCACTAAATAAGTACTTGACACACATGACATTGATCACCACCCAGTGACCAATCAGTTGTGACTAAGAATTATTTTTAAGCCTATGACCTCTTGTTCAACACTTAAATATACAAAGCAAATAAGCAACATTGGAAATTTCTAAAAAATAATCGACATTATGGGAAATCGCACTCTTCAAATACTATCGATAACGAGGAAAAATATTATTCTAATGTTATACATTTAGCTGTTCATTTCAAGTTGCAGTATAATATTTATGCTACTAAAATAACAAATAAAGTAGTAAAAATTAATATGAGTTTTTTAACTTGATCAACATAACAATGTGCTTCATTTCTTTTTAATTTTTGCTAACTATTGATAATACCCTACAAAATATTTTTATTTTAAATAAAATCCAACTGCTTCGTTTTTGAGCAATTCTGTTTCTAAATTCATCTAGTTTTTTAAGAGTTGCAAGTATTAACCGTAATTATAGGGAAATAAACAGTCATATATTAAGTTTTTAAGCTAAGTATAACGTTCAAATGAGTTCATATGTCCTTTATTTATGGCGAATAATACTATATACTAATCATGTTATGAATTTATATAATCACTTATTTAAATGAAGTGGATACATTAATCTTTCATCAGTACCCGAGAATTGTCCAGATCGGAAATGACATTTTACTACAATTACTATTACATTTATTAGGTAGCTTAATTGACTATATCCAAATTTTAAAAAAACCATGAAAATATTCGGCTAGATATACATTAACAGAAGCCGCTTTTGAAATATAACACTATACTAGTACAACAGTACCACAAATACAATTATTTAATTAAACTGTTCTCTATTTCATCTGTTACCACGGGTGAATCTAAAAATTGCACACTAACAATTTTAATTAAGATTTATTACCAAAAATTAATTAATCGACAATAGTATATCACAATACATTGAAGAATATTCTCTTTCCATAAGCATAAATAGCACGTATGTGATTGAGAATTTCATTGAAAATCAATAGATTTTAGTCCTCAAGGTCAAATGATAATAAACTAACTTCTGATTCGTTATTAGTACATATAATTTTGTGTACATATATCTTAGATATAAATCAACATTTATTTTAGTGATTCAAATAACAATTAAGTTTCTTTGTTCTTAAATAGAACAACAAAAAAAATTATTCATAAATGATATTCAGTTTGGTATTTCACATACACTTTCCAAATATAAATCAAAAATCAGTTATAGTTTCATATTTACATTTTAATTTCATTACAGTTTCTATCATTTACTTAACACTGTTTACTTGTGTTCAGTTTTATAGTCTTTGTTACTGTAAAATGTTTTCATGTACATTTAGATTTACTCTTGTAATATATATATATCCTTTACAACACTACGAAATGTAAAGAAAAAGAATATGCTGAACAAGCACAATTAGGACTGATATATATATTTGATAACATATAATGTAATGAAACTTGAAATGGTTCATTTTTAAATATACCAAAAAATTCGCACAGGGTATACTTTCACACAATTGATTAAGTCCAAATCAAAGGGTTACTATAGTATATAGAATTTTTACTGACATTTATTACTTTACATATTATACTACTGTGAGTAATATGCCGTAATTTCTATTGTTATAAATGAGTAATAGAAAATAAATGTATGATTTGTCATTCATAATAAATTGTCTTAGTAATTTCATATTTGTTAATATTATCTTATAAATATAAACCGTAACTGAGCTTTATAAACTCAGTGTCTAAACATTCACACTTGGGTATTTTTAAGCAAAATAGTCTGGGTTATAATAAATAACACTTAGAAAAGTTAGCTTGAAATC